TACACCTGGGCAGTATGACAGAAATGGTGATGTCATCCTGCATCATTTGCACTACATGATCCCTGGTGGGGAGAGTAAATTCTGCTGACAGACAGGAGTAGCTTCTTATGTGTATATCTAAGTTATCTGGTCTCAAGAACAAGAACTCATGAGGAAATAACTGAATTATTAACATTATTAGACTGCATAATGGATCTCGTTTTGAGTAATGACAAACAGACAGAGACAAAAAAATAGGTGTACCCCACCTCTCGCCCTATGCCAGCTGGGGTTGGCTCCATCCCCTGCGACCTTGCACGGACTATATATTTATGATCATAAAATCCTGTTGGTCCGTTTGCTTACAGACCACCAATGATCTGCACTAGGCTATGCAATGCTCGCTGACCATACTGTTTAGAATATTTCACTGTACTGAAGGCACAATTGGAATAATAACCTGCTGCTTTGGCAGTGTTTAGCAGCTTTAAAGGAAAGAGTGAAGTCAGCGGCTGACAGGCTGCCATGTCAGAGACACAGGAGTCAGGAGCATCAGCGGTGCCAGCCTAGTTGGCAGCTCTTCAAGCAACAATAGCCAGGACTCTGAGACCCAACCAGACAAGCCACGGTGATTTCATGTCACTCAGCAGACTGCATTCCACAGAAGGAGACTTATTTTCATTATTCATCCTACTCAGAACTGTGATCTATTTCCCTTAAAGTATCTTATAGCAGGAACGAATGACACATTAACAAGCTTTTAGTTAGTGGGGGCCTCACCACGAAACCAAAGGGATGTGATTGGTTTGGCACATTTTGCCAATGGCAGTGATTTAGATGAGGGACAGTGACACATCTGACATTGATGAGAACATGTGCTTCTATCTGTAGAGATATTCTAAGACATACGTCAAACCATGTACTTAAGTCAAGTGATGAACCTTAAACTGCTATAATGGCAGGAAGCAGGCTGTCAGTCAAACAGGCTGAAGTAGGCTTTTGTATAATATTAAACTACTATGTCTGCAGCGTAGTTGTCATACACTGTTTAGAATTTTTGATTTACCATCTCAATATTTAATTATAACACACATTAAAACTGAAGTGGGGAAAAGTAGTGTTTCATTTCATGTTGCACTTATTCATTTTTTTTACATTACAAAAGAGTAATGTCAAAGAGGTCACTTGTAGTGATGAACCCAGAGAATTATTACCGAACTCTGCAGTTCCTCTCAGCTCTACGGCGTTTAAACATGTTTTGGTTTTACAGCCCACAACTTAACTGTTTGCTTCAGTCTCACCATTCTCAGCAGCACCGTTTCCAGCAGCAGCAGGTGGCAATTTTTTAATGAAGAAGAGGCGCATTTAGCAGCCAGATATTTCCCTCAGGAGTTGGTGGAGACCAAAACAGAGCTAAAAAAGGGGGTCAGCTGAATGTGGATACATGCAACCATTTGCTAATATTGCCAGAGATTAAGTAGTGTCAAAATGTGCTAATTTGTTTACAGCTTTTTGCACTGCCTCCAAGTGGTAAATAAAATGAATTAATGCAGGCTTAAAGACAAAATGTACTGACGGGAAATTAAAGCTGAAGCCAATTAAAGTGCACATTTAAGATGGAATCAGTCAATGCTAAATATGTAATACAGAATGGTGTAGTACCTAATTATGCAGCCAGAGACACACACATGAATAAGTCTAATGCAAACTACCACAAGCAGCCATTGCAGTGCTGGTATCCAGGCTGTAGGTCAGCGCCTGCTGTCTGCTCTGCAGGCTGGCATGTGGTTAATATGTGGCAGGCAGGGGGCTAATGTGTCGGCTCCTGTCAAATATCACTTACCTGTAAAGAACTGACAGGGCGCCGCAGAGAGACAGCAGCAGTCTCCCCCACATGGATCTTCACAGCAGCAGCGTCATATCAAAGGACCACACATGAATGTTGGCAAACATAATCCACACTGCAGTGTTTCAGTGAGGAGCTAAAGCTGTTACTGAGTGAGCGTAAGCTGCATGAAAGGATAAAGATGATACATTCATATGACTGTGTATTGAATTTTTTAAATATAAAGGAGATAACCACAAGCCTTTATTTTGTAGTTCCAGCCACCCCTTTAAACCACTATTCTTTTTATAGTTTTAGCTGCACAAGTGGAAGGGTTGCACACGGTTTGTACAGGCAAAAGCTCTTGGGTGGAGGCTTACTCATTTTGGGACAGGAAACAACCGACATCTCCAAGCGGTTTCTATCAACCAAATATATTTGTCTGGCTCCCAGCCTGCAACTCCGCCGCATTTAGTTAATACTTTCCACGCTGACGGATAATGAGTGAGCAGTAAGAGGAGTGTGGGTTGAGAAAAATAACATTTTGTAACCCAATGTGTATCCTTGTCCTCTCTGTGTTGAATGTTTAATGTTGTTTTCATTCTGCTCGGTGTATCAGTGGTTCCCAAGCACTAATGCTGTTATCAGGAGATTGAGCACTGAACGAAGACGCAGTTCTGCATGTTTGTAGCAATCACCAGTAATAAAAAATGTGTGGCTCCTTCGAGGACTGTTTATCCATGTGGTTCCCTTCAGTTAGTAGTGCTGGTATAAAACTGCGCTCTTTTTCTGACCTCCATGTTGCTGCTGGTTCACACACACTTACATAGTTTCAGTTTGCTTTACTCTCCAAACAGTGTCCCATATAATTCTACAGTTGATTCTTTTGGGTCTCTTTCACTTGTTACTTTGCACTCACAACAATGTGCTTATATGCAGGCTGATAGGTGATTGATAAAATACATTTTTACCTAACTATGTAAGTTATCACAACTTGATTTTACTCTTACATTAATCCTTAAAGCAGCCATAATCGATATCTTTATAATAACATAACCATGTGACAATATGAAAGGGATGAACCTACAGAGAATTGTCTCCTGAAATCTAATCTAAAGAGCCAGATATTTCCCTTATCAGCTGGTAGAGACCAAAAGCAGAGCTAAAAGAGAGTGAATATTAACCTCAAGTGCCTTTTCAGCTTTTGCCCCTCTTTTGGGAACCATGGATATCCGTTACAAATCCTGGTTATCTATCCAATAATTGTTTAGACATCGCCATCCCTAGAGCCAGACTTCTTGTGTGCAAGGCCTAAATTGTGAGCACAATAGAACATACAAGAGGAATTGTGTCACTAGATCTGAGCAACATCTGTCAACTTCCCAGTGTGCCACCTCCGCCTTTTCATCAGCCTAAAAGGTGTTAACTGTGAAACAGATAGGACTGTTACAGCCAGATAAGGGCATATCCCGTTAAAGCCTGCTAATCAAAACTTGTTAGCAAACGCCCTATCACATTTTCAAATACTCAGACCCTGCCAGAAGAGCTGTCGTATTCAAAATCAGGATTTAGTGCTCCAAATGTAGAGCTTAGAAAGGCTGAAAGGGAAACGGATAAGAGAGGAGAAAGGGAACATGAATCAGGGTGTAAATGAAAAAAGAGAACAGCAGAGGCTTGAGGCATTGACCTATCTCTGATCCACTTTCCCTGCTCCATGGTTAGAAGTTGGAGAGCAGCTGAGCTCTCCGCTACGGTCTTTATTTATGGCTCGCTGTCGCCTGCTGTGAAAACATCATTATTAGCTGATGGGCACGAGCAGCGAGTGTGTAAATATTCTTTTAATCGCTGGCGGCCTGCAGCAGTCATCACTACAGCTCCCAGTGTGATGATGTGATGAATAAAGCAGTAATTAGGGAGAGGAGGGGGCTGGGGTTCACATCAAGATGAACATGCTGGCTGTGGAGTTGAATTCTCGGGAAAGGCTTGATGCTCTGACCCTCTGTTCACTTCCTTCATTTACATCATAAATATGCAGTAATACTTTTGTAATGTTTTGTACCAAATGTGTTGTTTTCAAATGCCAGAATGATTTCAGTCATAATTACATCTTCAGAGTTTGCCCCTTGAAATAGAACGGTAGTGTGTTCACCCAGCCTGACAGCTATCTGATGAAAGGCAGACAGTTCAGTCACTCAGGTCTTTTATTATGGGAAGACTGTTTACAAACCCACCAGGTCAGAAGACTATCTTGTTAGTAACTTTAAAAGTTCCATTATAGCCAATGCAGAATATTTATTGCAGCAACAACACTGGTCAAAATGCTTGTGTATAGTGTTGCTGCAGTATTCCTTCACACAAAGCAAAATAGGAAAGGAGAATACGTCTTGGGCTTATGCAATATGAGCAATATTTAGTTGCATGAATGGCTGCCAATCTTGGATTTTAGTGTCCAGCTCTCAAACACAATTAGCCTCTGTTTGCTTCTGTACCTTGTGCATGATATTAACCTTCAAACACAAGTGTCTGAATTCCAAGTGTAAAATCTATACATTATGTTCCTTAAAACAGACTGAAAAATGAAGTGAGCAGAGTACGCACACTATATTTTTTTATAAACTTCATCTTTGATGTACAATTCACTATCAAACATTACAGATGCAGTTTTTAAGTTCAAAACAAAAACAGCGGGAGATTTGTGTGGTTTAAATGGCTGCCTGTGGAGATTCACAAAGCATGTGTCTCAGAGTCAGTGTAGGTTGGCAAAATGGAAGCGTGTCGGCTGTTGGAAGTCGGATGAGCTTTCTGTGTGGATTGGTCTTTAGACTCGTGACCTTGGCATGAGTAAAACCTTGGCTACAGCACTCTGTCTAGCGGCAGAGCTTCAGCAGGTTTATATAGCAGGCTTGGCATCTCTCTGTGCTTTTTAAACATTTTATTCTCCATGCTAATGGTTTTCCTGAGGTCCTGTGGAGCATAATAATTCATGTCAACCAAATCATATACTTCTTTATATTTGAAAATATGATCCTGTTATTGAGTTCACTCATTTCATTTCATTTTAGTAGCTTTCTTTTCTAGCTTTCAACACAAAATCCTACTTTTTTTGAACCACTATCCTTTAGCAGTGCAGCATGCAGGAAATGCAAACCATTTTAATATAAGACAGATCAAGTTGAGATAAAGAGAGGATCACACATTCCTCATTAGAGCCATTTATTCAGTGATGAAAGAGGGAGCCATAGAAAATGTCATTAATCCATGAACTACCAACATGGCTGGAATTGTAATTCAGAGTGTGTAAGGCATAAAACAGCTTCAAGTGATATCATCTGTGCTTTTTCACAAGACTCAAATATCAAAAGAATGTTTTGTGACAGTTCAGCTTTAGAAATGTGTCGCTCACACAGAAAAGCCTGAGCCTCATTCCTTCCCTAATGACACTTAATTTTCTTCCAGTTTTCATCCGTTTTCTTTCATATTTGGCTTCTATAAACTGCTGTGCATTTCAACAGCCACTTTGGAAAAAAAAATAAAAAATCGCAACATTTTATTTGGTCCATTTTTTTCAAAAGGCTTTCAGGATCCGGTCCAGAAGCTATTTGCTGACAGCCATTTTTAATCCCTCGATTAAAAGCAGAAAAGCTTATCTCATAAAAACAGACATCCCAATCAATCACTCGATCTGCTGTGCAAAATATTAAAATAGAAAAAAGATAGACCATGCATCTTCCCACCAAATTGCTTGGAATAAAATCAGTACTTGGCTGTTGTGGAGGAGGAGGGGGGGATAATTTGTCTCACATTTCCTTTCTGTGAGGGGGCATTTGGTGAGATGTTGGAAGACTGAAAGAAAAACATGAATGCGTTTGGAGTGACAAGCTACAGGAGCGTCTCATTTGGTGCAGATGATCAAACAATTAGCATGAATTAGACACTTTGAAAATGAGGGCCTGCATGTGTTGCTGTTGCATTATCCTGAGGTTTATGTTTGTTTCCAGAGCAGACTCATCTGTCGTCTGTGTGCATTCATGAATGAGAACTGTTTGGCTAAGCTGCACTTTTTTAATTGGTACCAAGGTACTGTTTCATTGTCTTATCTGTTATCTGTAGTGATGTCCTTTTCTGCTACACAATGCAGATCTGTTGTAAATAACATGTCAGTAGCACTTTGTAATTGGGCACCATTTATAAAGGGATTATAAACTGCAATTAAGATTTATGAATGGTTAATTAAGCATCATAATGCTTTATAGATCAGCCATTCATCAGAACTACTTTTACATTACCAAATTGCAGACTTCATTAATAATTATGAGAACCATTTATTAATGAATTTAATAATAACTTAATGACTTGACTGGTAATGACACCAGCCAGAAAGATTTTCCATAACCCAAAAGTTGTCCACAAATTATACACTTGTTAAAAGGAACACCTCAGTGGACAGTTGTTCTTAAAGTCCTGTGCTTTATCAGAGGCAGAATTTTATATATTTTGGTTTCATGCCAGCGTCCTAAATCCAGTCAGAATGCTGCTGGTTCTTTGTCTGCTTAAAATTGCAAATATTCAGTTAAATCATTTCATTTTAAACCTATTTGCATTAAACAGTAATTACCACAGGGCCTGACACACAGCACACAAAGAGCTAACCAGTGTTAGCAAATAAACATCCACCAGTGGAAACGTACACTGTGGGCCAGATAACTAATTAGCTAGTCAGCTGCAGCACATCAGCAACAACAGCTTAAAACGTCACATTAACACCACTGCTAACATTGGGTAGGCTCAGCTTGTGAGCCATAGCTAACAAAGGTTTACAGTGTGTCTTGGTGCCCCCAACAGCTTTGCAGGAAATCAAACATGCAAGCTGCCCCCCCCACTCTAAACTGCTAAAAAAGCAGTTCTGATCTTTCATTCACCTTTGACATCATTTTTGAAAGGGATAATTTTTTGATTGCAGTTCACCTTTAAAGGAGACCTATTATGCTTCTCCATATTTTATGACTTATCTACAATGTTACAATGTTGGATGTTCATGTTAAACATGACCAAAGCTTCAAATAATGAGGTTAAAGTATTTATAAGAAATCCCTGTGAGCCAAAACCTCAGATTTCGTCCTGTTCTGAACGCTCTGTTTTGAACTGCTTTTTATAGTAACGTCTCCGTTCTACGACATTCAGACCTAGACTGAGCCGGTGTTCCATATATGGTCATTTGCTCCGCACAGCAAGGGCACAGCAACACTCAGTCTGTCTGTACCGCTCAGTGACAACAACAGCCTGATAACATGCTTCAGGTCTTGGCCAATCAGAAGACAGTGGACTTTGAGAGGGGGGCCTTAAAAAAATATAGGACTGGAAAAGCAGCATAATAGATGGTAATGTAAATGTAAATGCTCCGTACTTGTATAGCGCCTTTCTAGTCTTTTCGACCACTCAAAGCGCTTTTACACTACATCATATACAATAGGTCTCCTTTAACATCTAATATCACCACTGTTGTGTTTTAAAATAATAATAAATGTAATACATTTGTCCACAGACCATGAGGTTGTCATTGTGGATGTTAATTGTAAGCCCTTATTAAAGGGTGTTTTATTTTTTACATGTAAGCTTGTTCCCATTAGCTGATCTGCTGCATTTTTTTGTTATTTATTTGTGCTGCAGAATGTTTACATTCTTTGATTACACTGAAAAAATGTCATCTTGACAATCAGCTAATAAATCTGAACGATGTGTTTTAATTTCTACTTCTGTGTGGTCCGGTCAGCTCAGTCACAGGTCCCTCTTGAGCTGCAGTTTCTTGTCCCTGATGTGCTGGAGCAGAATCTTCCCTCTGTGCTCAACAGTGTGGATGAGAGGCCTGAGGCCGCTGGCTCCGCCTTGGCTTTCCCAGAATTCCCTGTCTGTGTAAAGGGAGTGCAGAAGAAGACTCTCCAGACAGCCTGACTGGAGCACCGACACTGCTCTCTCTGGAAACCTGACAACAGAAACAGCATTAAATTTGATGTGCTGTAGCTTAAGTGACTTGTTAAAAGTCTAGAAAACAAGACTCCTTACCCCATGAGGCAGTAATGCCCTATACACAGTACAATACTGTGTAAGACTGTTGGACAGAAAACAGCTCTGTTTTGTTTTTCTTCTCACCTTATCACTATGTCTGGTTCTAAAGCAAGTCCAGTTGCCTTTAACTTAGCACTTCTAGATAAGCTTTATCACTAGAATTGCTCAAAGCAACGGGTTTATTTATGCAGCACATTTTTTAAATGCTTCAGTAATTCAAGATAAGATGCCTGCCTTTGGTGTGAGAGACCCGGGTTCAATTCCCACAGTGACACATACACTAATGTGTGCCTGAGCAAGACACTTAACCCCTCGTTGCTCCAGAGGCGTGCAACTTCTGACATGTACAGCAATTGTAAGTTGCTTTGGATAAAAGCGACAGCTAAATGTAATGTACTACATTTTATATCAATCTTGCTAATTTGTCAAGATATTGAATCTCAACTGGGGGTGTGAAAGTGTGCACTGTCATGTTCATTTGTACAGTTGATTGCATATAGCCCCCTCTATAACATCAGGCTTTATGCATTGACTATGAGCACACAGACGATGTATAAAAACTTTTGGATGGTACAAACTGGTTCATATTGCCATCTTTCAGCACCTCCTCTAGTACAGCAATAGAGTAATGTGGCTGTGTCTCAAAGTACTTTTCCCCACAGTACATTCCAATTTGAAAGAATCATAATATCCACAATATTGCTTAACACAACATATAGATTTGATATAACGGATGGCTCTAAATACCTAGCCACTGTTGCCGAGGCGCAGACCAGAGCTGTAGCAAATTTGGCACTTTGGCATAACAATTGGAAACAAAACAGTGTGCCTTAATTGCTGAATGCCAGCACAATTGACACTCAATCAAAGAGTGATTTCATCTGCTGGATGTGTTACTGGGTTTTTACAACATGCAATCTTTAGCTTCTCCTGTGATTGGATGTTTGTTAGGAGTACTGTCTCTTTGTATGTGCACAAGCTTGTACATTTGACTTTGACTTGACCCATTTGGTTATCTTTTGTACTGATGATTCAACCGAGAGACTTTTATGTCCGTTCAAGCCTGGGAAGTGCTCCAGTTTCCAGTAACCTGACAACGTCTAAGCAGAAAATGAATTGGACTTTCTCTTGCAGAACACTAGATTCCTGAAATAACTTGGAAACTACTGGGGAAAAAAAACAATAGTGAATGGGTCCTTTTCAGTTCATGCAAACAACATGTCAAATCTAAGAAAGACACCCTTGAGCAAGGTTTATAAAAATGCTCTCCAAGAAGTTGTTAGATTGAGAAGCAACTGAAATGAGTCACTCTCCACCTCTGGAAAACAACCAATTTTCCTTTTATTTTGCTCCATATTATTCAGTGATGAGAAACACTTTATCATTCTATTTCAATTCAGTTTCACGTCCAGGCTTAAGATATTTAAGAGCATTTTTATAGAGCGGCTTAGTAATCCTAAGTGACAGACAAAGGGGAATTTCTATCAGACCTGATTCATTCAGCATATTGAATAGCAGGCTAATTGAATGCACACTAATCTAATCAGACAGACATTGTAACAAAACCCTAACAAGCTTCCAGTGGACGTTTCTGTGCTGCTGATTTGAAAGCTGTTCACCAGGGAAATATGTTGTTGGGTGTGTTTTATTTTCTCCTGAAACATTTGCTCACATCAGTGTCTGTGCCTGCTGTGAGCCCAAATTAGTTTCTGACTCTGTGTGGTGTAATTTATTGAACCTGGAAGGAAGCACAACAAACTCTCAGATGTGCATCCTCCTGCTTTAAACTCACTCATCAATGCCCTCAACCAGCCTGAAGTTGAGGTTGTCATGGGACTGCTGCGGTCTGCCGGCGTTGTCTATGAACACCAATCTGGAGGGATCTGCCTTCCTCACCTGGACACACACACACACACACACACATACAGTCAGGAGGAAACACAGGTGACACAAAATGTAATTTGACGGTGAGTTTAGGTTGTCATCCTTTTCTTCTTGTTTTTTATTTAATACTTTTTGAATAACCAAATTAAGATAACACTAAACTGTTTTAAATATTATTGATAGGATACACACAAGTGAAAATGTTTATTACAATTTTGTTTAGTTATGGACATTTTAACACACAGCATGTTTATACAATGTTGTTTAACAGGCAATCCAGAATATATCTTTCCACCTCTGTCGTGCATCACAACTAGATTTCCCACGGTCCAACATCTTTCACTGTTTATCTTGCACTCCATTTAGCTACAAGGTGGTAAAAAACCATCCGGCAGTGCTGACGCAACATCCAGAGGATGAATTTATAATCACTTCATTATTAAACACAGCTGCTAGCTGTCCTCTAACACGCTGGATGCCCCTCCCTAACTGAACAGAGTATCCATAACAGCCTGTAACTTCCTGAAACCAACAGTCCAGCGTTTACACCCACTCCACACCTCATGTGAGGCGAGAAAGGAGCCAAGGTCTGAACATCTCTCTCTAGCTCTCTTAAGAAGCTTCTGGCTGTTTTGAACGACTATCAGCACTCAACATTGTGTTACCTAAATGTCAACAAAATGCAATCTGTACAACATATTTATTGGAGAGCACTGATTAGTAGTTTGCGTGCATGAACTGTAAATTTGCACACACAAATGGATTTGTTTCTCTCCATGACACCTGCCAGGTTTTGTAACTACAAGCAGAGAGAGGTAGTAAAATCATTTTGGATGAATTTTCTAAGGAAGATATTTTGACAGATAGTATCATAGTAGGAAAAGCACAGGTCTAAAGAATAAATTGAATGATGGCTGGATTCCGTTTAACTGCTTCAGGGTCCTGGTACTGTGCATGCTGGCTCACTGTCATACTGTCATGGCTTACTGACCATCGTTAATGTTATTAGAAACACCTGTGCTTGTCCTTCTATGACAAGTCAAATATAGCCGCAAGCATCGATGAAAGGGTTCAAACCTTCCTGGAAGTTTAGTGTTGATTGGACAAACATTTTCTCATTTGAAGCCTGATTTGCGGAATGACTTGCAGTTTTTTTGTATTTATAGCTTCCCCCTAGTGTTCCATTTGAATGAAACTTTCAGGGCATGTTTCCGTTAGTTATGAGGACATATCCTGTAAGATTTGTGATGATTGGAGAATGAATATCTTATTTATATTCTGATTTGTGTCGTGCCACACCCATTTCTTGCATTTGTAGCGCCCCCTTGTGGCCGGTTTGAATAAAACTTTGCACATGCAAGTTTTTTTTTTTTATTTAAATGGCGGGAAATTTTTGTAGGCAGACCTAAATGTTCCTTGAGGCTTTTTGTAGACAACATTGAGCTGTACCTGTGTGACAAATTTCAAGTCCACCGGACTTCAATCGAAAATCAACTTTTTAAGGGCGTACTCACACTAGGCCCGGTTAGCTTGTACTGTGCCCGAGCACAATTATCCCCCCTCCCCCCTCCCCCACTGGCCTGCGATCACATTGCGCCTAACTATCCGAGCCGGAGCACGTTTACATCATCACTCCAGTGTTTCCCATACACTGATTTATTTGTGTCAGCCCGCCAAAGTATGACACTGAGCGCCACATAGCCTATTGATTTTTTGTTGGCCTGGCTACTTAAAATCGTATTTGATTGCAGAGCTGCGGGCAGCGGACATATTCGCTCAGCACCTCGTCTCACTCGCTCGCTCACTTCCTCTGTCTCTCATGAACACTGCTGCACACAACATAAAGCGGTCAATGTCGGAGACCCACCTTAAAGAAAGTCAAACGAAACAGACTCTCAGGGTTCAACGTGCTCGGGCACGGTACAAATCGCCTAGTGTGAGTCCACCCTAAGCCTTAATTACAGCGCCACCATCTGGTCTATTGGGCTAATATTTCTATAGAAGCACACCCTTTCCAGTTATTCCTCCAAGTTTCATGTTTCTAGCTTATTCCAGCTCACAAGAATGTGAACCACGGCATAAACAAAAATGTAATAATAATAATAATAATATTACAGCACAAACAACAACTTTGTGGTTTGAACCCTAATAAGATTATTCAAATTCCAACTTCATGCCCTCTAGGCCTTTAAGTCAACTGCAGAATGAAAAAAGAGCCTGCTGTGATTTTCACACAGACAGGCTTCATCTGTTCTTCCATAATGCAGCAAACAAATCATATGTAACATCATTAGCACTCTAATCCACCTCAGAAACACCTGCCAGCCTGAGAGCTCGTTCGCTAGCTATGAACAACTCATACATTAATATAGCTGGAAGTATAATGTATGCTTCTGTTGTATCATTTAAATATAGATCCATTCTCCTGTGTCGTCATGATAGAAGCAGCAACAAAATGTTGTGCAACAAAAAAACAAGCAGGGAAGCGGGGGTGGATTTTGTTTTCTTCATTCCCTCAGATATGATGAATAATGACATTAACAGAGAACAGTAACATTTATTTCAGGATATAAATAATTTTGTTAATGGCACAAAGAGAGGTTTACTGTCTGTGGAGTTGAAATACCATTAGTAGTGATTGCGATACGCACCAGGATGTGAACCAGCAGCAGGTCCTTGGTGTTGCCACACTTTGCGTGCAGCATGTTCTCCACACAGAGTTCTGTCGGTTCAGGTGTGAAACCACAGCAGTACCTGTCCAGACGGTCATTTACCTGCCCAACAGACAAAGAACACACATGAAGTCGAAAACGATGTGGGCTTTGTAGATCATTGCCAGACCTGGTCTGATTCAGAGAGACGGCATCCATCCCACTTGGGAAGGAGCAGCTCTCATTTCTAGAAATCTGGCCAAGTTTATTAGTGGACCAAATCCATGACAACCCAGAGTTGAGACCAGGAGGCAGAGTCGCAGTTTAACACACTTCTCTGCCGTTCTAATGATTTGAAATTATTTAAATCAAAGGTAAACAGAAGAGGAGCTGTGCATAAAAAACTCAAGAGCAATAGTGCAAACAAATAGGAAAATTAAATGTGGACTCTTAAACATCAGATCTCTCTCTTCTAAAGGTGTGCTAGTAAATTAACTAATATCAGATTATAATATTGATTTATTTTGTCTTACTGAAACCTGGCTGGGTGATGGAGAATATGTTAGCCTAAATGAATCCACCCCTCCCAGTCATATTAATACTCACATTCCTCGAAGCACAGACAGAGCAGGTGGAGTTGCAGCTATCTTCGACTCTAGTCTACTAATCAGCTCTAAACCTAAACTAAACTATAACTCATTTGAAAGCCTTGTTCTTAGTCTTTCGAACCCAAGTTGGAAATCACTGCAACCAATTCTTTTCGTTATAGTGTACCGAGCACCTGGTCCGTACTCTGAATTCTTATCTGAATTTGCAGAGTTTTTGTCAACTTTAGTTATTATAGTAGGGGATTGACAGCTTCAGTACTGCGTTTATCTCTCTGTTAGATTCCATTGTTTTAACCACACCCTCGACCTTGTTTTGGTGTATGGTATTGAAACTGAACATTTAATAGTGTTCCCACAGAATCCCTCTTTGTCTGACCACTGTTTGATAACTTTTGAGTTTGTATTACTGAACTACACGCCATGGGCAAGATCTGTCTGTCTGATAGATATCAACAGGCTATGTACCACAGTACTTTAAAGTAGCTGTAATTAAACCTCTTCTGAAAAAGCCCAAACTTGATCCAGTTTTTTAGCCAACTACAGACCTATATCTAACCTTCTATTTCTCTCTAAGATCCTGGCGAAAGCAATTGCCAAACAGCTGTGTGACTTTTTACATAGGAATAGTTTATTTGGGGATTTTCAGTCAGGATTTAGAGCTCATCATAGCACAGAGACAGCACTGGTGAAAATTACTAATGACCTCCTAATTGCATCAGACAAAGGATTCATCTCTCTACCGGTTTTATTAGATCTTAGTGCTGCATTTGATACCATTGACCATCAGATCCTATTGCAGAGACTGGAATATTTCATTGGCATTAAAGGAACCGCTCTAAGCTGGTTTAAGTCCTATTTATCAGATCGATTTCAGTTTGTACATGTTAACGATGAGTCCTCCATGCACGCCAAAGTTAGTCATAGAGTTCCTGAAGGATCTGTCCTCGGACCAATCCTCTTCACTTTATATATGCTTCCCTTAGGCAATATTATCAGGAAACATTCCATAAGCTTTCATTGTTATGCAGATGATACTCAGTTATATCTATCGATCAAGCCAGATGAAACTCATCAGTTAGCTAAACTTCAAATGTGGCTTCAGGATGTTAAAACCCGGATGACCTGTAATTTTCTAATGTTAAACTCAAATAAAACTGAAGTTATTGTTCTGGGGCCTAAGCACCTCTGTGACGCATTATCTAAAGATATAGTTTCCCTTGATGGCATCGCCCTGGCCTCCAGCACCACTGTGAGGAATCTTGGAGTTATCTTTGATCAGGACATGTCGTTTAAGTCTCACATTAAGCAAATTTCAAGGACCGCCTTTTTTCACCTACGTAATATTGCAAAAATCAGGAACATCCTGTCTAAAAATGATACAGAAAAACTAGTCCATGCATTTGTTACTTCTAGGCTGGATTACTGCAATTCCTTATTATCAGGCTGCTCGAAAAAGTCCATTAAGACTCTTCAGCTGATCCAGAATGCTGCAGCACGTGTTCTGACAGGAACCAGGAATTTCTCCTGTCCTAGCTTCTTTGCATTGTGCTTCCAGTAAAATCCAGAATAGAATTTAAAATCATTCTTCTTACCTACAAAGCTCTTAATGGTCAGGCACCATCTTATCTTAAAGAGCTCATAGTACCTTACTACCCCACCAGAGCACTGCGCTCCCAGAATGCAGGGTTACTTGTGGTTCCTAGAGCTCCTCTCCTGTGGAACCAGGTTCCAGTTTGGGTTCAGGAGGCAGACACCATCTCCACATTTAAGACTAGGCTTAAGACTTTCCTCTTTGATAAAGCTTATAGTTAGGGCTGGCTCAGGTGAGTCCTGAACCATCCCTTAGTTATGCTGCTATAGGCCTAGACTGCCGGGGAATTTCCCATGATGCACTGAGCTCCTTTCTCCTCTACTTTCTCTCCCTCTGTATGCAACCTCATCTCATTATAGCATGTTACTAACTCGACTTCTCCCCTTTCCCGTAGTCTTGTGCTTTCTCGTCCCTCTCCTCTCTCCTTCTATCACTTCCTGCAGGTGTTTCTGGCTCTGGAGCTGTGGAGTCTGGATCTGTGGTTGCGGGTCACCTGCTGCCCCCGTGTTCCTGCTCGACACCCTCTGCTACAACAATTATTGTTACTAGTCCTTTTGTTATTATTGTAATTATAATCATTAACATTACGATTATTATCATAAATTAAATATAAATATCTGTACCATTATTCATTCAGTCTATAGCAACATCACCTTTACTGTCTATACCTCTGTGTATATATTGTGTAGGCTGCCTCCCTCCCCTCTCTCTCTCCTTCCATCCCCCTCCCTCTTTCTCTATGTTCCTCTCTCTCTTTCTCCCTCTCTCTCCCCTCCAACCGGTGGAGGCAGATGGCCGCCCACCCTGAACCATGGTTCCGCTCGAGGTTACTGCCTCTTAAAAGGAAGTTTTTCCTTGCCTCTGTCGCCTAGTGCTTGCTCTTGGTGGGAACTGCTCTTTTATGAAAAGCGCTCAGAGATAACTGTTGTTGTGATTTGGCGCTATATAAATAAAACTGAATTGAATTGAATGAAGTCGTAAGCTTTGACAGTGTGAGTTAAAGCTGATATTTTTTGCTGTTGACACAAGGGCATTGTTTCCATGCTGCATCCAGGCTGCACTTAATCTCCTCCTGATGGAAGATGTTAAGGCCGTACACTTCCTGAAAAGAAGATTTCATCTATATGTTTTATTTACAGTTAATATTCTACGAAAAAGACATCAATCAGAGATAAGGAAGGAAAGGTCAGTGCTTTTCTTGGTAAAGATGCAAATACATTCTCTGCCAATGAAACTAAATGTAATGTAATGTAATGTAAATTTAAGCTGGGTCAGTGGACCTATGACAAAGCGGTTCACACTAAATTTCAAGTTGTAAGACTACAGTTATAAGAAAAATTATAACCATTTTCATGACATTATGTTATTTTCTGGATTTATATAAATGTATGTAAATGCTGGAATTAGCATTCACATAGTTTCAGGTTTTTCTTTTCTTTTTTGACAGTGAGATGTGGAATAAAGATCAGTAAAAAGGCCATAAGGCAAAAAGCTTTTGATTTGTTTGCACCGATTCCCTGTAAATCATGTTGAAACAAGCAGCCAGTTTTGGCTCATCATCCCAGTCAGTGATCTGCGTCTGAAGCCGAGTCTGACAGATTATCTCATGCAGTTATCAGTGTGAAAACAGATGAAAACCACATTAACTCCCTGTGGTGATGTGAAATCACATGAAGATCAGTTGTAACAAACAAGGATAGTTTAAATGACTAGGGACAAACTGAAATTTATAACAAAAATCATAGCCTGCGAATATTATACAAATAATTAGTGTTGAGTTAGGCACGTCTCAGGACATGCCTGTGGTTTGGAGAAATTCCACTTTAAATGACATCTGCTCAAGAGACTTTAACACTACTGATATCTCAGTCTGATGTCTGACTTCACAGTTTAATATAAAATTCCTGTGTGGACTTTACTTTAAACTGCATTCACAGACAGTACACATACTGTTCTACTTCAGTCTTTGCATAGTTAGTATTTAAATAAGTTCAATTAAAGTTTAATTTCTGTTTAATCAGATCTAAAGCCAAAAGCAAGTTAAAGCATTAATTATAACTTGTTTGCATAGTTTTAGCCATCACTCCTATTGCTCTGATAATATTTTATGAACATGATAATGTGTGAGTACTTTAAGACTACTGGGAAATTCAATTCCATGTATGTTAACATTCTTGGCAAGCTGTTAGTTGAATCTGTTTCTGATTCCAACTAATCTGGGAACACAGCGATATCTGACGGGCAACAAACACGACAGTTTATTATGATTAGCTACACCACTTAATTTGAAAGTGAAACTGAAAATATCAGTAACAATCCCCCCAATGATCAAGAGAACTGTGTGCGCACACAACCCCGCTGTACAGCAGATCAGAGTTGAGGCCGAAAGACGATTTGTAAATGATCACGGATGTTCAAACAGAGTTTTGGACTCAAGCCCAATGAGAAAAAATAATGTTGTGAAAACAGATCTTCTAACAATTGAGATACTTTCAATAACTCCAACACTGCTGCCAATCACATTACAGATCACCCTGGGCTACAATATATAACAATAATTTTCATTTTTAAGTAATGTCATTTTTAAGTAATTTTTTTATCATGGCCTTCAATTTGGTAAAGTGTGCATGATGACTTGTTTAGGACTCGGAACACATTTTGAACTTTGACTTGTGACAATGACTTTCCCATCAGTGCTTACAATGGACAGTTCGAGTAATAATTGCGTTAATTTTATTTGTTTTCTCTTCTAAATAGAATCCCTAATCCCTAATGTGTTTAAAGCCTAACTGGACCCCTCACAGCTCCTGTTTCGTGCCCCGTCTGATGTCTTTTAAGCAATGCCACTGCATTCACAGATCTCAGCAATTAACTTATTGAGATCATGATTGATAGGATTGATGATCAAAACTATACCCAAGTTG